GAGAGAGAGAGAGAGAGAGAGAGAGAGAGAGAGAGAGAGAGAGAGAGAGAGTTTAAAATTTATAACATCTTTTACAAAGTCAAATATTTATGCAAGATTGTTTAAACAGATTAATTTTATAATATATTTATTGATATACAATTGTTAAAAATTAAATCTAAATTATGTGACCACTATTATTAGTTAATTACGGCCAATTGCGGTACAGTAACATGACATGGTTTCAATGCATGGAACAGTGCTTTGCGTTCACTTGCTATGCAATGCGGAACAGCAATGGTGTAATTGTCTACAAATAACTTTTAATATATGGTTAAATAATGTAGATAGCTGTTGTTTAACAGTTGTATATCAATAAATATACAGTAAACATGATCTGATTTAAATTGGATTTAAATTGGATTTATTATATTTAAGTTATTCAAATAATAAGGTAGTTCATTTTTTTAAAGTTTCAGTTATAGAGTTTTTCATAAAAAATGGAAATAATTAAATCACTATAAAATTAAAATGGATGCCTCGATTCTAATCGATATTTTATACCCGATACTCGGTAAATTTACCGATTTTCGGGTTCGGGTGGGCATTTGACCACGTTAGTAAATTTTCCCATTGCTGTACTTTTTAGAATCTATTGACACATGTGGTATAAGTAATTTCGTTAATTAAATTTGTCAAAATAGTGCAGAGAAAAGTGTCCAGGCAAGTGTCTTCCGAAGCTGGGTTCGGGACTTGAGCTATTCAACTTCTGACCATTGAAAATGGTTATTTTGGACTTAATTTTACATGTTATAACATATTAAATTAAAGGTCTAGTGGTGACCTAACTAACACAACTTTGATAATCATGATCAAGCGTGGAATAACATGAATTTAATTCACTATTAAATTTATAAATTATTCCCATTTTTATTGAAAAACTCTATATATATGATAAAGTTACATAGCTTACTGAATCAATCTTCTCTTTAATTATAGATGAGGTGAAAATTAATAAAAATTTTACTGGATAGAAAAGTGTGTTTGCAAAGTGTTATTGCTGCCGATGAGGTGCCCGTATTTGAATGAATTATTATTACTTGAATAAATGACCACATCAAAAATATATTATCAATAAAACTTGTAGCTGTAATTAATCTAATAAAAATGTGGGAAGTGTCTAAATATATATTGTAAATAACGTGTTAATTCTGCATAGAAAAAGCAATCACATTTCAACAATCGTCTTTATGTGGACCTATGCCTATTAAACCTATTTGTTATTATACAGTATGTGTAGTACTATCCCCCATATACTGACACCTTTATTAATAGTTGTTGTAAGGTTCTCACACCCACTTTTTTTAGTTACCTGGTTATTGTAGTAGCATTACATCTACATGTATCATAATTCTATAGTTATTATAACATGGAAAAGCTCTCATAGGATAACATCAGGACACTTTCTATAACAGAGTGCGTTTAAATGAATTTATTTAATATTACATATTAAGTCTTTGACATAGGTTTAACATAGGCAATGTTTTTATGGCCATGTTAATTATATGGGTAATATTAAATCTATGAGATTAATAGTAAATATACTGTATATTATAACGAATGTTATAATTATGACTTACATTAAGTATTTTCATTATAATGTCGATGTGAATGCTTGTGCCGACACGTCATTGGTATTCCCGCCCAATGCATACATCCGATGAAACTGAAAATTTTAAATATAAGAATATAATAAAATAAATATTTTATTTTAATGTAAATACATTTAAAAATTTCATTATTTTCATCCTAACAGGTTATTAATCAATTAAAAATAAAATGTAACTTATTGTAGTTATTAATTTAATTCTGACTATAAAGTATAACAAAGACCAAGTTATAAAATATAAAAACTTACCAAATGATTACTATCACAAGACCTCTAACAAGCATTTACCATTTCAGTTTTGGCCAGTTTATTATAAATGAAACAATCATTGTTATTATCGCATGGCCACTGTCATGTACCATTGTCATTAATGTTATAAATATATAAAATGAATATAAAAATTGTTGATGCCATATATGACTATATAAAAATATAAATCGATTTATTTAATTTAGTAAAATGTCATTATGATTAAAATGTATATGTTAAATTTGGTTTACGTGTATTCCAAAATATGCAAACTATACTTATTTTAGTATTAAATAAAGTCTTTTGTATGAATAAATAATCAGCTCCGTTAAAACAATATAAAAAGGATTGTATGTATTTCATGTGCGAAAATGCTTTGGGGTAAACATTCAGGTAAATCTATTTCATCATTTATGTATGATAAAAGAATAAATAATATTATTTAAATATAAGCTATAATGGTAATACAAAATGTACGTTTAATTGACACTTGTTTAGCACATCTCTGGTTTAATTCAATGTACAGTATTTTATTGATTGTTTGATTATGTAGTTTGGTTGTTAGAGACGCAATAAAAGATATGGTAGTTGCCATGAATTTAAAAATAACTGATTATTACTATAGTAGGTTAATAACAAATGTTTTAACTGTATTTTATAATAGTTACAAAATAAATATTTTGGTTATTAATTAGTTTTCATTTTATATTGAAATTATAATTATTATAAAAGTAAATCCTAAATAATGGACCACATTAATAATATAGTAAATAATTAGTAAGTATTAATGTAATTTTATCTCATAATTTACTAAATTAACTAATAAACCCTGATTAGATGATTGGCACCAAAATACGGATCAAATATTTTAATACAATTGGACACAACTAAACTATTTCACAATTTTTGAATGAAGGTTAATCTGTATTCTGAATCGTGCAATCATTTTGTACAATTGTGTGTATTCTTATTTTATTGAGATTACATAGATTTTAATGAACAACTGCCATTTATTGTCTATAATACTTCATAAATCAGTTAAATTTTAAAATTAAATATTTTAAAACTTTGTACAAAAATACGGATTAATTCAATTTCACATACATTTCAAATAAATTATAATGTTTTAAAAAATTTACTACTATTTCAGTATACAATTTATTCAAGTTTTTATTACTGTTTTGCATAGTTTATTATATCGAGTTTTCAATATTAAACAAAATTTAATAGCGCTCTAAAACATTTTGAGAGAACTGCAATTAAAGTGTCCAAATAGTGAACAGTTGTATAAAATAAAAGACATGTGGTAACACTAGTTGTATATTTAATTAAAAACAAAGTTATTATGATTTAGACTGTAAAATAGAATGTTTTAGTTTGTTATTCAAAAATGTAAATAAGCATTCATTTTTGTCGGTTTTTAAACTGTAAATTTCATTTAATTGAACATTGGGATCAAGGTGAATTTGCCAATTATGCACAGTGGCCAACAGTTCATGTGTGCGTGGTCAATCTTTTTCAGTCCCGGTCAACATGCGGCCAATAAGTTTTCTAATTTCATTGCAACCATCCTCTTCTAGGTCATTCCTTTTTAAAAATAATATTTATATTAGTCTTAAATAACTTTTAAAGTACTGTATATTATTCAATGAAGATTTATATAAATTATAGTTATGTGTTTGGGATTTTAAAGTCATTTATAAATCAAATTTATGAATGGTACATAATTAAGGTTACCAGTCATGTTATTTATATATATTGCAGTATGATTTATTTGTGCATTTTCACCACAAATGTAACACTCAGAAGCTTAGAGACATATTGATAAATATCCCATTTCATTATAATATATTTATAAAGTTTTAACAAAGATGCAACTATGTGGTTTAAATATAAATATGGATAACATAAAATAAATTATGCAGTTTATAAATTTTGCATTATCAGCCTTATCAATGATTTAGACCTACATTTGGACGGACCCTCTTTATTAACTGTACAAATAATTTTTACTAATGTTAGGGACAGTGTCCGTTCAAATGTTAGTCCGAGACAATAGGGTTATAATCATTGACTCTCACCAATCAATATCCATAAGATCTGGTACGATGTGCCCCAAACTGTGTAAATCACTTTTACGTTTATATCGTCCAGAATCGGCATCCGGTGCCCGATAGCGCTCAGTGCCGATAAATGGTTTGTCTATTACCGTACTTTGACCGGTGGGTCCGCACTGTGTGGCCGATCCAAAATCGCATAGTTTACAGAACACACCGCCGGGTGAGCTAAGGGTGAGCACTGGGTTGGGGTCGAACACCACGTTCGTGGGCTTCAGATCGCGATGAATGATAGGCGGGTGGCGAGTGTGCAGATAATGTAAACCTCGAGCCATCTCTATGAAAAGCTCGCACCCGATATACCGTCGGACAGGCCGTACGAGTGGGTGATTTGGTAGGAGTGAGTTCGGGCCAAATGTGTCCTCTATTACCACAATGATTTGCGCTAGGTTGTATGGATAATATTTCATCTGGATAAAAGTGCGCCCATTATGCACCCAGTGCTTTATGAACTCAACCACGTAGTCGCTGGTCAGTTGACGCAGAGTATCCACCTCGGTGTTAATAAGGGACGATTCTACTATATTAATTAACTAATTTATTAGTTTGTGATTTGCCATCATGTTAGATTTTTAGTTACCAGTAATATGTTTGCTCACTTTTATTGCGTATACATTATCATCGGCGACATGCTGGGCCTTATATACTCGCCCAAACGAGCCCTCGCCAATTGAACTAATATCGGTAAAACGAGCATCACCTAGGTCTTCCAAGTCGGTTGTTTGTATTGCTTGTTTGTTATTGATAGTTGCTTTAATATTATTATTGCCATTAAGGTTTGAATGAAGTTCAGTATCCAAACGAGCATCATCCAATTGAGCAATATTGATTATCACTTGATTATGGTTGTGTTGAGAGCCAATATTATGCGTTTCAAATATTATTTTTGGTCTAGTTTCGTTTGGGTTTGCGCTTTCATCTTGATTCGTATTATAATCGACCATGTTACTCATCTGTGGTGTGCCTGTACGTATTTCTGATACATTTGGTATTAGATTTAAACTAGTCACGTGATCGGGCCCGTTCTTTGAATGGGCATTGCCAATACTACTATTTGGTAATGAGTCCGAATTACCATGTGTATGATTATCACCTTGTTCATCTCCATCCGGCTCGAGTAAATGTTCTTGTTCATGAATATCCGCATTTACCACAGGCTGGCCAGTGTTAGGCTGTATAGACTTTAATTCTAACCGAGCTTGCGCACAATTGTTTGATGATCGTTTGCAATAATAAACCATGCCAATTATAAACAATAAAAATAAAACAAATCCGATAATCCCTGCTATTATCCCATAGTTAGTTGCAGTATCGTCACCATGGTCGTTTGGGGGTTCAATTTGTTTAGCCGTTGATGGGTATGTGTCCCGTTTGCAATATGATATATCATGCTCGTAAAGTCTGCATGATAAATCTGTGGCAACCATAATATCGCTGGTCCCACCCCTGGCCACAGTATTATGTACTTCTGTACAATGTGGCTATTGAAAATAAATTATTTTAAATACATGTTGTATTAACATGTTTATTATTCATTTAAGATTTAGTCTTTTTTGACTGTTTAAAACAATTGTAATTTAACAAATACTAAGTTACCATTGTGTATAAATAGGAAACTATTTATACCTTTGACATTTTGATTGATATTTAGTTATGTAATGATAGATATAAAATTGTAATAGTTATTAAACAATGCATGTCGCCATTTTAAACAAAATATTATCTATTTAATTATTGTTAGAATTATTTGTAAATAAATTTCCATTTTTGTTTACAAACTAATTAACAATTTTATCCTCATTTTTAAAAGTGTATAAAAAGTTATTATTAATAACATGATTATAATAATATACTAATATTTAATTTGTGAATGGCATATTTAAGTATTAGATTAAGGGCAATTGAGATACATTTATGTAGGCATTTATCAATTAAAATGTGTGTAATCACTCGTTCAATGAATTTTAACATAAAAATATATATTGAATTAATGATTGTTTACCCGAAGACATCGAAATCGACAATTATGCTTGATCCAATATTGACAAATAGCAGTTGACATTTCTGTTTTGACCATGGGTGTTTTAAGTTTATTATAAAATCCGTTCATACAGAAATATGCGCCATCACATTTATCGGCCAGTTGACCAATGTCAATTTGTGCTAATATTACATAACACACAATTGCCTTAGCGGCGGCGTTCATGTTTGGCATATAAAATTATTTTATTTTGTTATAAAATATAAGCATAGACCATTTATAAACAGTGCCATTTACATAAAACGTTCAACAAACGATATAAAACGATTATCAAAATGCTTTGTGCTAATACAATACAGTGTATTAAATACATGAAATTACCATGGTAAATCAATCTTTATTTTTATCATTAAAATTATCTAAAAATGTATTCATTTGGATGACTAATAATTAAATAAATGGTAATAATGTACAGTAGAAATTATAACAAACTCAATTCATTCATTAAGTTAAATAACGTAATTTTAATCATAATTAAGCTTCTTAATAGTAATTTATAAGATTATCAACTGTGAAGTAAGTTCACATGTTAATTATCCAAATGATAAACAATTGAGTTGTGTTTTGTTATAATGTAACTACGATACAACTTAATTATGGGGTGTCTGTGTTTATTATAGACATTTTGTTTTTAAAACAGTGCTTGGCCAATTAATGTGTCTTACAAGTTAGTAAAATATTTAAAATCGTAACCCTAAATAAAATACACACCAATAATAAGTGAGTAATGCGATAATATTTTAACAAAGCTTAAGCAAAACCGTTAAACAAAATTACAATTTAATTCTTTTACAATGTTACTTAATTAAATTCGTATACCTAATCAATAGTATCAACTATTAACACAAAAAACTCAATATTATAACAAGTTAGCTAACAACGAGGTGCACGACTTTGGACTTACCTGTAGCTATGATCGCTGTCTGCCAAATTACAATTAATTCAATTTAAAAATTTTATCAAGTAACAATGATTTTCAAAAGAAGTGTTTATGAATTTATAAAAAATGAAATATGAATCTAAATTAAACAATATTATTTAGTTTTCTGTACAACAATGTAAATAGGCATTTATTTTTGTCGGTCTTTAACTTGTGAACAAGCTCATTTAATTTGGAACATTCATCAAGACAAATTTTCCATTCTCTCATGTTGGTCAGTAAGATGTTAGCGCTGGGTCGTTCACTATAGACTCCATTTAATATATTGATGATTTCACGTCTGATATTGTTATATCCATCGTCATTTATATTGACACTGGTCATATTAAAATCAATCATAATTTTTACTTGCTACAAATCAAGAACTATCATAGCAATTTTTAGCAATTAATATCATTAGTTTAAGGGTTTGTATGTTTAACAACAGTAAATTTATAATAAGGGCCATTTTAAGTAAAAATTACAAAGTGACTAGAGAATTATTAATTATGGTATTATTGTATTATTATATTTGATGCAAGGTATTTTTATACTCACTAATCAATATCCATCAGCATTACGGCCACCAGTCCTACGCTGTAAACATCACTACAGCGCTTGGATCGGCCCAACTCTGCCTCCGGGGGCCTGTAGTTAACTGTACCGACACGACCGTCACAAACAACAGTACTGTCACCGTCTGGACCGCACGGGGCGGCCAATCCAAAATCACCAAGCTTACAAAAAGCACCGGCACCCGGAGCATCACCACCCGTCGGATCAAACATCACGTTTGCCGGCTTAATATCACGATGAATGATACGCGAGGGCCCGGTGTGTAGGTATCGCAACGCCCGGAGCAGCTCTATAAACATCTCGCACCCCATAAAATACCTGATACGCCGTACGAGTCCCGGGTTTAAGGCAATGGCCGTTGCGTTGAATGTGTTGTCCATTAATGTGATAATTTGCGCTAGGTTATACGGGTAGTATTGCATCTGGATAAATGTGTGCCCGTCATGTTCCCAGTGTTTTATGAACTTGACCACGTAGTCGCAGTCACTGTGTTTGAGTGTATCGATCTCGGTCGTAGTTATTTCTAAATTATATTAAATTATTAATAATTAAATTATATTTTAACTTGTACAAAATTAAGCCAACCTTGATTACTGATAATTTTAATAGCGTACAACTTTCCATTTGGTTCGCATAGGACTTTGTGAACATATCCATACGAGCCCTGGCTAATTTTTGCAATGTAGGTCAAATTAGCAGCCCCTGTACCCCAGTGTTGTGTTATGTCAATTCTATAGTTAGGTGTTGGGTCAATAAATCCCTCGCCTACAAAGCCATTAATTTGAAAGGGCTTAATTAATGTAGCATTCGTAATATGATCTGGATTATTTCTTTCGTGTTGATTAATTTGGGCATTTACACCATGATTTATTATGGCATTACTACCAGTATTTGACCCGTTTGCATCCCTAACAGATAAATTTGATGTATCATTATTGACCATCACTAGACCATGGGCGTTTTCTAGTTTTGTAATAGCATCTGGTACATAATTTTGGTCTATATTAAAACCATTAGTTAAAAGTCCGGTATAAGTGGTAGTCGGGATGATTAGGCTTGATTCTTTTTCATCATGGTCAAAATGTGACCGTTTTCCACAAATGGCCCGCCAAAATGTAGCATAATGTGTCATACATTGGTCATAACATGAAGGTAAACAATTGAAACAATAAGAACAACATGACCATATTGATATGGCAAATAATCCTGGTAATAATGTACATATGCCACTAAATACTAATATACCAAATATATAGATCAATATGATTGAAACAAATTCTGTATTTCTATTATCATATTCATCGTAAGGATTTAGTGACTCATTTTGTGATACAATCATTATTCTGTCCTGGTTGCAATAGGATAGTTGGTGTTGGTAAAGTGTGCATGCATAGTCAATGGCTACCATGGAATCGTTTGCTGATCCTATTGCCACTATATTGTTCACTTGACCGCAATAATCCTGGTGGTAAATATAAACTTTTTAATAAAACAATTATGCATAGAGTTTATCTATCTAGTTTTATCAATGCATATACAGTAAGGTGTACAAAATAATAATACCTGAACACATTCAAATTGACATTGGTGCTCTATCCAGAAGTGGCAAATAGCTTTCACCATATTTGTTTTAAATATTTCTGGACGGATGCGATGAATTTCATTAGTGCACAAATGCCAATTGTAGCATGCATTTGTAAGTGGACCAATAAATAGTAATACATAGGAAACAATTTCGATTGCATTTATTTTCATATTTGAACATTAGTTTACACATCTTTATAGTGCATTATGTGAACACACTGATAAATGACATTTTCAATTTTAAATGCATAAAATAATAATAAAACTAGAATTTATCATTATAAATTAAATCACTTTTACTTTTTATTTTAACGCTACATAATAGATGATAAGCCATATTATTGTGACTATCAATCATTACTTATGATTCAATAGGAGAAGAGCTTATCAAATAAAATATTTTATATTACTCTGTTTATAAACCTTGAAATAAAGACATATAACTTAATTGTTATTTTAATTTACCTATGTACAGATGGTCATAGCAACTAAGACAATCTAGAAACAAAATCTTAAGTTTACAACTGTCTATTTACATAAACTTGCATTTATAAATATGTTTACTGCATGATTATTTATTGACATTACTGAAAGTTAACAATCATTCAATTCATCTCATTATTTAAACTACAATATAATTTGAATAATAAACAAAATCTACTTAATTATATTAATTAATAATGTTTTGCGTATTATAAATTAAAATAATTAACCTGATTGTATGACCCAACTGGCGACTTGAGGAATCAGACAGACAGTAATACTTAAACAGGACTATCAAATTAATAATATACACAATGGGTATAATAACAATTGTTAACAAATTATCTAATCAATATTTTAATTTTAATTTATTTACAATAATTAATTTTATTTATGTAAATACAGTATATTTTTATAATACAAATAAATTTATCTATAAATATAATTATTAAATTAACTTAATTAATATAATTAAGAGTTCATAATTAACAAAATAACTTTAACTTTTTATTCAGGAAATTAAATAAACAGCCATTAATTATTTTATTACGTCCGTTCAATTTTTGTGCCAGATCAGTTAATTCAGGAGTATTATGAAGTGTAACTTGCCACTCGTTAATAGTGTCCAGCAAATTTTGTGCACTAGGTCTGGCAGTATAATCGTAAGCAAGTGTCTTAGCAAACATTTGTCTTAAAGGTGTAAACTCATCAACATTATCTATACTGTATTTTAATTACAAATAATCAATAAATCAATAATCATATTTTACACTTACAAGGATTAGATAGCCATGCTATACTTTTAAACCAATTCAAATATTCCTTAAATACAATAGAAATATCAGTGGATTTAATAAAAGTCTTATTAACTTGCAATAAAATTATCATTGCCAATAGGGTAACATTGGTTTCATAATGCTAAAACTGTTCATAGACTTAGCATTGCATCAATAATTAACATTGACTATAAGAATAGCATTAATTACATAATGATAGCATTGCTTATGGACATTAAATTGCTTATAAATTAACAGTATCCATGTCATGAACTATTTTATATTAATCAATATAAATATGTTTGCCTGTATGAAGATTTGTTATTCTATGGTAGTTTTCCTATGTTAGTTTTTCTATAAAATGAAATCTAATGTTAAGTTCTCTAGGATGAGGGAGCGGAGTGCTGAATGAGTAACTGTACTCTCATATAAACAGGATAATTCCTATATAAATTGTTGTTAAAAAAGTTAATCATATTTAAATATATCATACTACATTTTACTTAGTTAATTGAAAGGTTAAATAAATCGTATTGATTTATAATCTACAATATACTTACAACTCAATATCCGTTAATTCGTGCCCGATTAGACCCAGACTATAAACGTCCCCACTACGTTTATAAAGGCCTAACATTGCCTCCGGAGGCATGTAGTTATCGGTGCCGACATTACATTCACCTCTCACTGTACTATCACCGTCGGGACCGCATAAAATGGCACAACCAAAATCGCATATTTTGAGGAAAACACGCCCTGTCGGGTCGCAAACAATGTTCATCGGTTTAATGTCCCGGTGAATAAGCCGAGGATATTTGGTGTGCAAGTAATTTAGACCCTGAACCAGTTCGATGAACATCTCGCAACCAATGAAATAGCGCACACTAACAACGAGTGTTGAATTTGTGACCCCATACACTGGAGTACAGAACGTTGTTTTCAACAAGTCTAAAACGTGAACTAGATTAAAAGGATAGTATTGCATTTGGATAAACGTCATCCCATTGTGTGACCAGTGACCGATGAATTTAACGACGTAATGGCTGTCCATTTGACTTAAGGCATTGATCTCCGTTACGCTTAACGCTAATTAATAAATTTTTTTAGTTTTGTTCATTTTAGAAAATAAATGTATGAACAATGTTACCAACCTTTATCTTTGACTATTTTTATGGCGCACATTATCTTAGTTTGTAAACAAAAAGCTTTATGAACATAACCGGAGAAACCTCTGCTAATTTTGCACTTATAAATTAAATGACGTGATGATTCGCCCCAATACTTGACGATATTATCAAGTTGACCATTAGGTGTTGGATCGGTGAATGTACGTTTTGCTAACTGATCTTTACAATTAATTTGAGTCACTGTAACCATACTATTTGTGTCACCATGTTTTTCTAAATTATCATTCATCGCAATAGGATGGGAAATAATAATATTACTTTTTGGTGTAATTTGAACCAAATTATTCGCGATAATTTCCTGTTGGCTATTTGGTGAATTTTCGATAGCACATGTGCTGGGTTGTGAAATATTTATCTCAGCAATCACATTTAATGGAATACTACACTCATCTACCATGTTCAATTTACGTGAACTTTGTATTTGTAAAATGCAGCAGTAATAGTTTTTAAAAATAATTAACACACAACATATAATTATTATAAAGATTATAGTGTAAGTATTTGAAGTAATTGGTCCAGTTGCTTTAATGATTGCTATAGCTCTATCAGGTTTACATTCATCATGATTGTATCTGTACATTACGCATGCTAAATTTGTGGCGTTATCTATTTTAACGACATTATCATTTTTCTCCACTTTATTATAAATGTTGTTACAATCTTCCTGTTGAATAAAACCAAAAATATTTTGGTTAATGGTTTAGCAAATTAGCAAATTTTAGCAAACAATGTAATAATAATTACTTTTAGACATCTAAAATGACATTCATTTTTTATCCATAATTGACATATTATTTTTGCCATGTCCATTGTTTTCGTCACATGTGTCAAATTAGCATAAATAGAATTCATACATTCTGCGGTATTATTACATATATTTGCCACAGCAGTTTGATTAGCAAATAATGTTATAAGTATATTAAATGCACCATATAATAAAAATCGTTTATAATAATGCATAATAATTAATAATTCACTATGAATTTACACACAAGGTGTGCTGGCTTGTACAGGAGTTTGATTTACATAACGGATAATTTTTCACAAATTTTAATTTTGATTAGACTTGATTCTAGTAAGAGTCCCTTAACATAATCCATATTGGTTTGCTGTTTATGTAGTTTTTGTCAATATCCGATGACAAAATTTACAAATTATTTTTATAATTGATTAATAACAATATAATAGATCCTTAATAACTATGACAATTAAAATGGCGTCAAATAAAAGTTAACTCATATGATAAACTAATTTTATGACAACGCCCAACATAGCATTTTTATTTGTGTTGTAATTTATGTTTAATAAAACAAACAAGGTTCACACAGCGATGCTATACGTTAACCACAATTTGGGAAAAGCATTAAAGATTTTTAATTTTTAATACTATTGTTAGAATCATTTCACTATTATTATTTTGATAATCTAAAATGTTTTGACAACAATTCATTCTATCTATTATGGAAAATTCATTTATAATCCCATTGTCCTATTGATATATCGTGAGCAAACTTCTTGGTGGTAATGTAGCTCAGTGTTTGGGGCTCACGAGTGGTTATTGGGTGGCGATTTCTAGCTGATCGCGGACGTGGTTACTTATACTTTACCTAATGTTGAGTTCTCGGGGCTTTACGCCAAGTCTAGGGGCTGCCGGCCGGTCGTAACGCGTGTCGTTTCCCTCCTGACCACAGCTAGTGAACCAAAGGTATAGCGCAAATCACTTACGGGTGATTAGCGCACAAAAGCGGAGACACAAGCGTTACAACTAAATTACTTTTATTACAAACTGTTTGACTGGTGGGCGAGAACTAAGGGTTTGAGAGCACAGTCTGCC